ACAGAGCTCCCAGGCGGCCACAGTTGCTGGCTCAGAAACAGGTACGGGGCCAGTGAGAACATGCTTGCTCATGTCACATATGGCACACAGCTCCGTGACAGTTCCTGGGTGGTGCTGGAGCTCCGTGACGGCTCAGCCTTGCAGACGGGCTCCTGTCCCTCATTTCCAGGACAGGAGTGCCCTAAACTCTGCAGCTCCCACATGACCTGGGGACGTGTGCACAGGCAAGAGACGCAGAGCCCTCCTAGGGTGAGTGGGCGGCTACACCTGCCCCCTGCACAGTCTGACGAGAGGCTCGGGTCTGGGGCTGCAGGTGCTGCTGCGTGGGACCCTCCTCCTGCCTGAGGCAGTGGGGGCTGATCCTTCCAGGCTTTCTGCAGTGTGTCTCCTCTGAAGTGAGTGGGCTGGCTGGAGAGGAAGAGCCACATCTCTGACCCATGTCGTGAGTGGCCACAGACCTGGCGGGCGACTGGACCTCAGGTGGCCTACTCGCACTCGACCTCTTTTCTCTTCATTTCCTGCAGTGTCACCTTCCTCGGCAGAGATCTGTGGCTTCTTCAGGGATTGACCACCTGGGCACACTTGTGGGTGCAGGAGTGTCCTTGCCCCTCAATGCCAGCCCATGCTGGGCTGTTCCTCTCGACCCCTTCTGGTCAGGGGAAATTTACCTGGCCCCCACCTTCACCAACAGCCCCTAAGGTCTGTCAGCTGCTCCAGGAAGCCCAGCCTGGGCCAGTGCATGGTCACGCAGCCCAGTCACTGTGTTCACAGTCCTGGCCTCAGCACACACCTCGGGTCCACTTGCCAATTCAGCTGTCACCTTCGAATGTGAATTCACCTTCCACCTGGTCAGACCCCTCCTGAAACTGTGCCTTCCCTGTGGAGAACTGCCTGGGGGGAGTCCAGTACTGAGAGGGTCATACAGCTCACTGCTCCTGGGTCCTGGTCTGCCAACAGCTGGGCAGGGTGAGAGCCAGCCCCAGATGTCAGGAGCAGCTGCTACAGACCGTGGGGGTGATACCAGCACGCAGAACAGCCCCACTGCTAGGCTGCTGTGGCATGGCTCCACCCAAGGCCAGACGCCCAGCCCCATGGCTTGCCCACCCATCCAGGCCTGCTAGGCACGTAGCCGACCCCTCCGGTCCAGCCAAGCTGGTAGGACTCTCCCTTCCACTTTTCTATGATGCACAGACAGTACAACCTGCCAACAAATTAGGTGAGGGAAGGGTTAGGTACAGAATTACATGGTGAGGTTTACTGGGCTGAGGCCGGTTGGGCCTCTGTGTCTGTGTTTCATGTCGTAATTACACATGACCTGCTGCAGTGGCTGAATGTCAAGTTACCACAATTGTGATAATTATGTCTCTCTGGGAAGGTCAGCAAAAGTGGCCTCACAGGGGGAAGCTGGGTGACAGGGTGGCTCTGGAGGGCTGTGGGGTGGGTGTTCTTCTCGGAACACCAAGGGGCCACAATTGTCAACCTTCTCAAGATGTTTTCAAAGTGAAGAGAAGACTCCTGGGCACGTGTGTGGGAAGTTCAATGTCCACTGGGCGTGTCCAGTTTCTGGGGAAGGATGGTGATTCTCCAGTGATGGTTTCAGGTGGTGGCCACTTGGTAGAACAGACCAGCTAGCTGGCAGTGCTCATGGGGAAACCTCCGTCTGAGCCAGCGTTCAGTTTGCTGTTTGTGAGCTTTGGGAACCCCAGCTGTGGAGAGACCCTCAGCTACCAGCTACCACCAGGGATGAACGCTGTGCCCTGGTGTCAGGAACCTCCATCACCCGAGAACTGCCCCTGTGCCGGTGGCTGAGACTCAAACAGCCACAGTCCTCGCAGCCCTGGGAACCAGACAGGTGCTACACCCTGTCCCTCCACCACGCGTAAGGGCCACATGCACCCAGTGTTCAGAAAGGCTGAGAAGTTTCTGGTCCCACTAAGCGGCCTTTCCCAGTGACAGGTCCCAGGAAATGTGGGAGTCTGGAGTTTATGCTGTCAGACTCCTGGGTCAGGCACACACAGCCGAGCCTTGGGTGTCATCCTGGCCCGGCTTCTTTGGGTCTGGGACCTGGTTAAGCTAAGAGGATGCTCAGGGCAGCAAGGGGTACTCATCATACATGAGCTCAGGAGACGGTCAGTGAGGACTGAAGCGGAAACCAACCAACTCTTTGTGTGGGCCAGGGACCCTGAACTCTAGGGTGGAAGGTAGACCACTAGTACCAGTCCGAGCCTCAACCAGGAGGTGACCCCAGCCTTTCAGTTACTCTCATCTGGGGTGGGGAAGGGTACTCCAGGGTCTCCTCTTCCCCTTCTCCCTGAGGCTGGGATAGGCAAGTGTGATTCTAGTGGGTTCTGGAACTCTCCAGTTCTGCAGCTCAGCCTCAGTGGAGGTGTGTGGCTGCAGAGGGAGCTTCCGCGCCCTCACAGACACCGTAAGGAGTATGTGAAGCGGTCCCTTCCCCCGGGGTGGGAAGGGTGCTACTACAGGCTCTTATTGTACTTAGCCCTGAGGTGCTTCTGGGAAGTGGTACCTTCCCAGCATCCTGGAGTGACATGCCAGGACCATTCCCCACCGAGTCTCCTGGAGAGATGGCCCTGGAAAGCTCAGAGGCTGGCCAGGACCCTTAGGACCCAGGGGTGAAAGGGGATGGTGGCTGGTGAGCAGCCACTCCATCTTCCTGCCCCCAGGAGCCTGACATCACTGACCACCAGGAGTCCCAACTCCAGGGATGTTTTATTTGTAGGTGATTTGATGGGCCAGGGCAGAGGTCAGCAAAGGAGTCCAGGAAGCCCATGGGGTTCTGGGGTACAAGACTCCCCAGAAGCCAACAGGGCACAGGCTCCTGTAACAGCTTGGGACCAGTTCTGCTGCCACGGCACCCACCCAGGGTCAGAAAGATGGGAATATGGAAATTCCTGCTTTAGAGATCCTTCAGGAGGGAGCCGAGTCCTGGGGGATAGTCCCTCTCCCAATATCCTCTGGGATTCTCCCAAGAATCACACAGGCAGTCATTCATTCTTACCCTCGTTTTCTGCTTGTTTTTGAATTAGTAGACTTTATTCTTTAGATTTACAGAAAAATCGAGCAGATTGTAGAGAGAATTCCCCCCCTTCCCCCCACCAAGATTTCCTTCCTGCATTAGAGTGTGCCAGTGTTAGCATCAAGGAACCAATACGGATATTTATTAACTAAACACCACGGTCTACATTCCAGTTTGCTCTCCTGCTATACATTCACGGGCTTGGACAAATTAACTTGGCCATGCATGCTGTAATTCCAGGGTCAGGGCAGCCCAGTGGGCACAGGTGGCTGGGCAGCCCTTCAGGTGGCAGGGCTGTGCCTGGGGATGAAACCAGCATCAGCCCTGGTCGCCTTGGGCAGGTCACTGAAAGCTGCCAGCTCTCAGTGTCTTCCTTGGATGCTGCCTGCCCCTCCCACAATGTGATGGGGGACTCTGACAAGCCTTAAGGCCCTTACAGGATGTACAGGGCCTGCTGGGCTGTGTGCAGACGGCCCGGGTAAGAAGTGCTGAGGTGTGGGAAGTGGCTTGTTTCAGACATGCCAGTGGGCCAGTGCTTTTGTACCTGGATACCTGCCGCAGTGCATTCCAAGGGATGTGGGGCTGGTGGAGCAGGCCTCTAAGCTCTGAGGTGCACATGTGTGACAGAGCCTCAAACCTGGCCAGCAAAGGAGTCCAGGAAGCCCATGGGTTTCTGGGGCACAAGACTCCTGGCCAGGAGTCTCGGGTGATATCAGTTCAGGTGCTGGGCAGTGCTGTCTCCAGGCTGCATAGGCCTGCTCTGTTCCAGGGTCCTAAACAGATCTGGCCATGCTGCAATCCCAGTGTCAGGGCAGCCTGGTGAGCACAGGTGGCTCCTTAGGCCCCTGGCCCTTCCCCAGCACTGAGCTGCTTCTGATACACACTTGGAGCCAGGTATTTCTCACTCCAGCAGACTCATAATTCCACCCTTTCCCACCCCTCTGTATAGTCACCATCCAATGAACTGGACTCCCAGATTCTCATCTGGCTCTCAACCTAGGAATTTTTTGGAGGGGTGGGTAATGTCTGGAGACAGTTTGGATGACCCAACGGGGGCAGAAAGAAGGAGTGCTACTGACATCTAGAATAGGGGCCAGTTTGTTAAAATCCTGCAATGTACAGGATGGTCTCCTTTGTAAAGACAAACCTCGCCTTCCAGGTTGATGAAGCAGTACCAGAGGTGGGCAGTGTTGGGTGTGGGCAGCAGCGCACAGCGCCAGGCGCAAGCAGAGGCTCCAGGTCCTCAGGGAGCCTTAGAAAGACTTTCTGGGGACTGGACGCTTCAGAGTCCAGCACGCTGTACAGTGGAGTCAGGCCTGAAGCTGGGCCTCCCCGCCGGGTGGGCTGTAGGCCTGGACAGACTCGGAACCTCCGCCAAGTACAAATTCTGCGGAGGGTGAGGTGCCAAGAACTTCCCAGAGAGCCACCGGCTGGTGAGGAGCGAGGATGGGCCACAGCGCTTCCACCGTGGGGGCTTAGGGGAGAGCGGTCTATCTCGGGTTGTCCCCGAACCCGCCCAGTGCAGGCGCAGACGCCAGCTGCGCCTTCCCATCCGGCAGGGCCTCCGTGCTCCGGCCTCGGCTCTTCTCCAAGACCTTCTCTACGTCCCTCGCTCATCCCACCACCGACAGTGAGAACCAAGATAACCGCGCACTCACACGTCCGCAGCGTCCAGTCGGGCGCGCGGGACGCTGAGCTCCGAGCGCGCGCTCGGGGCGAGGTTCCGGCGCAGGCGACGGCGCGGGTCGGGGACGCGGAGATTGGGCAGGGGCGGGGCGGCCGGCCGGCCGGGGCGGGGTTCTGTGCGGAGGCGGGGCGGGGCGGGGCGCGGGATGGGCCCACCCCCCAGCTGAGCCGGGGCCGCGGGCTGCGGACTCGCCAACTCAGAGGATCTGGCGGCGGCGGCGGGCGCGCTTCTTAGCGCGAGGCTGCAGCGGCTCCTGCGGCGCGGCGGCCCAGGCGGGCCGGGATGGGCGGGCGGCCGAACAGGGGGCGCTGGAGGCGCGCGACGTGACCCTCCTGCACACGGAGCCCGCCCCGCCGGCCGCGCCCAGTCGAGGGTCTGCTGGGTGGGCGCGGACACGAAATCAGCGCCCACCCCGCCGGAGCATGCGGGGCGCGGCGCGGGTAACCGGGGGGCGCGCGGGGCAGCTGTGGCCGCGGCCCCCCGTCCCGGGCGCGGGCCCGCCCCCTCCGCTTCTGCTGCTTCTGGCGGTGCTGCTGGGCGGCGCGGGCGCGCAGTATTCCAGCGACCTGTGCAGCTGGAAGGGGAGGTGAGTCTCGCGGAGCGACCCCGGTCCAACCCGCCCGGATCCAGGTCCTCCGGTACCGTTGGCTCTGCTCCCGAGCTGGGACCAGCGCGGCGGGATCGGGGGCAGCTCTCCAGGCCGAGTTCGATGTCCCCATCCCCGTCCCCGGTTCCAGAACAAAAGAGCCCGAGGCGTCCAGGTCCCTGCCCCGAAGACGCCTGGGGAGTCACCTCCGCAACACCGCGGGGTCTGCCCAGGCCGGACGCCCACTCGTCCCGGGCGCAGCGCTGGTCCTGAGTCCAGAGCTCAGCTCAGTGGGAGCCGGAGCGGGCGGGGTCCATGGTCGCGCCCTCCGGGTTCCTGCCCGTGGCGGGAGCTGTGCGCCCCAGGCCGGGAGGAGCCGGGCAAAGCGAGAAGGGATGGCCGGGTGCGGCGGTTTCGGGGACGGAACGAGACCCACGTTGACTGTAGTACGTCCGCTGGGCGACCAGCCGCAGGCGGACACCTGTGCGCCGGGCAGAGTATAACGGGGCAGAGCCCCCCGCCCGGCCCTGTGAAGGTCAGGCCGCCCTTGGCAGCAGCGCGCCGGGCTCCGCGACCCCCCCCCTTCCCCCGTTCGCGGTGGCCGCCGAGGACTTTTTAGAAACCAAAGTGTGACATGCAGAAAGGGGTGCAGGTCACAACTGTGCGCGGGCGCGGTGCCTGGGAGCCGCAGCTACTCGGGAAGGACCCAGTGACGTGCCGGGCACCCAGGAGGTTCCTTGGGCTTAGTGGAGCTGGTTTTGTGCGGTGGAAGTTGACAATTCAGCAGTTTGTAAGGCGCGCTGCGCTATTGCGCGTCTACTCTGCAGACGCTGTGGGTTGGGGCTACCCTTAGGTCTGGTGTCGAGGTCGGGCGCGCGCCCACCCAAGCTTGTAGTCCTTGGGCTGATAGTTAGACTCGAGAGGCAGACAGCTCATTCTGGGTGGGGGCGGTCACGGGTGATTTTTGTGAAGCCGTTTTTCCGAGAAGACTGGGTGTTGAGCTGGTGCGCCAGGTTCTGCGTCAGCAGGGCATGGCTGATCATCTTGGACATTCACGGCATTTAGTTTTCTGAGGAAACCACAATGACCACAATCAACTCCCCCTCCCGATGGGAAAGACTCCTGCCAAGGGCTTGGACTTGAAGATCAGCCCCTGGCTCCTGAGACCTCTGGGCACTGCCGACCTCACTGGGAGTTTTCTGCCTCCCTTTCAGTAGAAATCCCCCTGTCTGCGGGAGCTGAGATTGGGGCTGAGGGTGGCTGGAGCTTTGGGGGAGGGCTGGCCTCGGGAATGCTGGCGCCAGCACAGAGCTGGCCGGGAGCCTCTGATGCTGACTCTCTGGGACTGCCCTTTCTCTAGCCATAATAATCAAAATCCCTGCTCTCAGCCTCTTCTCGTGGATCAGTGCACCCCAGCTCAAGGCTTTGGGGTGTTCTGCTCCAGCAGATCAAAACCAGAAAACCCAGTCCCTGTCCCTGAGCTTGGGTTCCAGTTGGAGCCAACTTCCTTCCCAGGTCCTCAGAGGACTGCATGTCTCGGGCTACAGTTCCAAGCCTAGGGTGCCCAGAACTCCGGAGGTCTAGGTGTTTGCAGAAGGGTAGGTGTGCTGTCCAGTGCAGAAGCAGGAACACTGCCTGGGCCCCTGGCCTTGTCTGCCAACATCCTTCTTGGACTCCCTTGATGGCACCTCTCCCAAAGTCTGAACCTAGCGAAGGACAGCTGAGGGACCCTTGGAGCTGCCGGAGAGGAGGCAGGGCCTGGAGCATAAACCAAGCTCCCTTGCCTTATAGCTGCTACCCCATTTATCAATACACTTCACACATCAGCTGACTCCTGTTGAAACCCAGGAGTCTGCTGGCTTTCTTGCTAACTCCATGGTTTGTGACCCTTTAGGAGCTGTTGGAACACAGCACAGGGCGGAGCAAGCAGGTGGATTCTGACCCCTGCTAGGAGGGACACTGGCCACTCATATTGATGTGCTGGTGCTTCTGGGTATTTCTAAGCAATCAAATTAGAGATTTTGAAATCCTTCTTCCTGTGTAGGAGGCAGGACCAGTGCCTCAATCTTTATCACCCAGGGACCATAAAGGTGAACCATGAACTTTCCCACTGGCGTCATGGGGTAGAGCAGGTGCAGCCACACCTGGGCTCTCTGGCAAGATGGGGAAGTGGAGGGCAGCCTTGGGGGCAGAACCTCTGACTTTGCCCATGATCCAGGACCAGTCTCACTCCAGCAACCACAATTGTCTTGTCCTGGTGACTTGAGGTTTGCCAGCTGTAGGTGTGAGTAGTTTGGGGCTGGCCACGTACCAGTTGCAGGCATGAGCTCAGCTTGCTTCAGCAGGTCCTCAGAAGTCTGCTGGATTTACCATCTTTTCCATAAAGGTGCCCACAGGCATGTCTACCTGGGTGATGCTTGCTGATTTTTTAAATAAAAGCATTAATTCAGCTTAACTAATCTGATTAAATAGCCTTGCAGGTGTCACGATATGGACTTGATCCAATTCTGTGTGCACCCTGTGGTCTCATCACAGCAGTGTGGTGGAGTTTGCAGTTTTGCTTAGTGTGGCACCTGCATCTCTTGAAGATGGTAAAATGCCATCATCAATGACCATTAATAATGTATTCACTTGTGCAATTGTAGCAACCTTACATAGACCTTTTTTTTTTTCCATTTGCTGGGTGCTTGATATTTGTTTGTATGGCAGGAACCAACACAGTTGTTGGTCTACATGGGGGTCTTGCTGGATGTTTGGATGTGGGGTAGGAACCAGGATAGTCGTTTGTCTATGTGGGGGTCTTGAGCAATACCTGCTACTGGTTCCATGCTGAGCATCTACTTGGATTCCTGTTGACCTGATGTTTTAGAGAATGGAGAAGACACTGGCCCTGGGATGGGTATAGATATGGCTAAGGGTGAGGAAATGGGCCCTTCATTTCCTGTGGGTCCATCTCTGTTTTACTTCCTTCTCATTAGATGGAGCCAGATGGACATCATGGGCAGCTCTTGCTTCAAGTGTAGGTGGGGTCAACAGCCTCCAGACTCAGGTCCTTCTGCCCTGGTACGTGGTTGGACACTATCACCTTGAGGGTTCCCTCTGCTCTGCCTGAGTTGGGGTGGAAGGCAGGCTTCCCTGTTTCCCCCTGTGCAGAAGAGTACAGTGCTTCAGAGATGGGTGCTGGGCCTCTGCCCTCCCAACCCTCAGGGCCCTGAGATGGAAGCGGAGACGTAGACTGGGCAGTTTATTGGGGAAAGAGAGTTGAGGATTGTGCCTGGACCCAGGGCAGGTGTCAGTGTCTTGATGCCAGAGACTGGAGACTGCACTGGGACAGCACTGACTGTGGCCAGGTATGTCTGCCTTGCACCACTTGGTACAGTTTCCACACAGCTCTGTGACTGTGCCCATCTCTCCATAGGTGTCAGAGGAGCTTGTGTGAGTTTTAGTTTGCTCTGCGTGTGTGACCCAGGGCCTTGTGGGGGTGGGCAGTGGGCCAGAGGTTTCACCCTTGACGCTTCCTTCTGATGTAGTCTGCAGAGTGACTCTGTGGCCTCAGCCTGCAGCCAGCCATCATAGCAAAAGCGAGGTTCAGGGGCCCCATGCCTGAGTCACCCGGCAGTAAATGGGAACTGTGTGGTGCCCTCTCTCCTCTGCAGAGTGTTCATAACCTGCTGGGGCCAGGGCTCTGGAGTTAGCACTGCTCATTTCACATAAAAATCCTAAGAATGTGGGCAAACCTGTCTGAGATCTGATCAGAACCAAATTTCAAGTAATAAGGCACTTATCTGAAGTCGTTGGCTCAGTTCCAGGTCTGCTGGTGCCCATGACGTCACCGTCAGCGAGGAGCTGGCATTTACATTAAAGTTCTGGGCTGCTGAACCCTGTTTTGGTTGCTTTGATTTCTCAGGGCCTGCCTGATGAGAGCAGCACCTTCACTATCTTTCTGTTGAGCCCTGGGGGTGTGTGGCCTGGTTACCTTTGGTCCTTTCACCTCCCTCTCCACCCCCAGGTTGTTCCCTTGCTCTTTAGTGACAACTGAACTTGCTTTTAGAAATGATGGGCCATGCAGGTACCCCAGGCGGCCCAGTGAATGAAAGGAGAGTGGACTGTCACCTTGGAGGAAGTACAGCGAGGCTGCCCAGTGCAGCCTGTGCGGCAGAGCGGAGCTCATCCATTGTCAACACTCCTAGCTGGCTGAGAGCTGTCCTCTGGAGCATGTGGTCATAGGTGCTGCCACCTCTGTACCTGTGTGAGCCTGGCTTTTCACCCCCCAGTGAGGCTCTGCCTTGTCTCTCCACTGAAGTCCAGGCCCTCCTGGGTGATTGGAACTCTGGTTGGTGACAGTGTTTCCTGGGTGTTTCGGAACCACCCAGCCCTCTGCAGCTCTCACTTCCCAGGAGCCCCGGGTCTCCCTGGCTTAGGGACCTGGCTGAGACTCCATCTGAAGGCTACAGACACTGAGCCTGGAGGGCGTGGCCAGGGTCTGGGCCCCTGGATGCCTGTGCTCCTCAGTCAACCTGCCTTGACTCTTGGAGCGGGCCCTCTGCAGGGAGCCTGTGGGGAGGCTGGTAGAGGTGGCTTGCTGGGTTCTGCCGCTCCCTGAAGGGGAGGTGGGCACTGAGGCAGGCCRTGGGCTGTCTGTCAGCAGTTGTGGAGGGGTTGTGGTTGTGGAGGGCTATCTCACACACTCTTSGGGGGSGGGGGACGTGCAGGGGTGGAGCCTCCTGATAGGTGTGCCAGGGTGGGGCTTACGCTCTCCTGACAGGTGTGCAGGGGCAGTGCCTGCACTTCTGGGTGGGTGGGGTGTGTGGTCAGGGTGGGGCCTCACAGGCTCTCCTGGGCAGGGGTGCGGCCTCCCCCTGGGCTCTGACTGATTCTACTCATCTTCTGCAGCGGGCTGACCCATGAGGCTCACAGGAAGGAAGTGGAGCAGGTGTATCTGCGCTGCGCAGCCGGCTCCGTGGAGTGGATGTACCCAACTGGGGCACTGATTGTCAACTTGCGGCCCAACACCTTTTCGCCCTCCCGAGGGCTGACTGTGTGCATCAAGCCCTTCAGTGGCTCCTCTGGGGCCAACATCTATTTGGAGAGAACTGGAGAACTGAGGCTGCTGGTGCAGGATGGGAGCAGCCATGCTGGACAGGTGCAATGCTTCAGCCTGGAGCAGGGTGGCCTGTTTGTGGAGGCCACACCCCAGCAGGACATCAGCAGGAGGACCACGGGTTTCCAGTATGAGCTGACCAGCGGGCGCAGGGGGCTGGGCCACACACTCTCTGGTGAGTAGACCAGGGGATGGGGGTTGGCGGCGGGGGTGGGGGGTGCTTACTGTGTTGCCAGACGCCTGATATTCTCCATGGCTCCCCTGTGAAGACACTAGGGGTCATGACCTGGAGTGGCACACCTGCCAGGCCACGTTTGTCTGGAGAGCCCTTTGAGTCCCCTGTACACAGGCCCCCATTGGGGAACAAGGGGGGGTGTTGGACCTCAAAAGCAAACTACCTTTGAAATGCAGCCTTCCACCCACCACCCCTTGAGATGCCGCAGCCCGGGACCTTGGTGTTCCTGACCTGGTGGAGCAGTGCGTGTTTGACCAGGGCGGCTTGAGGTGCAGATTCCAAATCCACTGGGTCTGAGGCATTTGAAGAGGGGCCATGCTTTTGCACGGCCCCGTGAGCTGGTCCTGGTCTTGGTGTCTGCAGCAGGAGCAGGTGTTGGGCTTGGGTGAGGACTTGGTGGTGACTCATGGCCCGGAGGAGGGGTGGTCCTGCATCCAGCAGTTCTGGGGCAGTGGCTGCTCTGCTCTGCAGGACAGATGCAGAATTCTGAAGGGGCTCTGGCTGGCCGTGAGACCCCATCACCCATGGGAGTGCCCGAGGGGCCTCAAGAGGCATGCCTAGGGAGGACTCCTCTTTGGATGGCGTGGCAGCCTCAGGCACCAGTGCAGTGTCCCCTTTGGACAGTGTCTGACAGCATGAGAACCTGGAGAGGTCCTGACAGAGAATCTCTCTGAGACCCGTTGGGCCCAGCATGGCGCCAGCAGACTGTGTGTGCTGTGTGAGGGTCAGGGGCTCTGCCTTGGGGTTTTTCCCACCTTGAGGTATGCAGACTTTCCTGACCTGGGGGTTGTGGACAGTGCTAGTCTCTAGACAGCCCTGCAAGTGGGCACAGAGGAGATGTCCTCAGATCCTGCAGCTGCAGGGCAGGTTCCAGCCCGTGGGCTGTGAGCAGGCCGTTCCCCTTTCCTGGGCCAGTGATTATGGAGGATGGGAGGGCCAGGGGAGGGGATGCCACACTCTGGGACCCTGGAGGTCCACTCGCCATGACAATAACACCTGGGGCACTCTGAACACGTGAAGTGGTGGTCCAGGTAGGAAGACCTGTGAGTGTCCCTTGTGCGATGAAAATGTGGACTGGCCTCAAGGACATTCTGCTGGGCTCATGTTTCCTGTGGCCGAGCTCTGCCCTGGTACAGGATGTGTCTCAGCAGCTTTGGGTGTGCTGCCATCTGTGCACACCTGGCCACTCACATTTGTACACATAGCACACAGAGTCTGCTGGTGCCATGCTGGGCCCAACTGGTGAGCTGGGATGGTGGCAGAGCCAGGGAGCTGCCCCCTACTCTCCTGTTGTTGCCCCATCCTTCCCTCTGCCCATGCGTTCAGGCCAGGGCTTATGGCCTGTGGGGTTGGTTGCACTGCCTGGGTTCCCACGGGGTCACTGGGGGGTAGTGGCTCTGGCACAGGCACCTGCTCTCAGGCCTGAGCTTGGCCTCCAGGCATCTCCTGCATGGTGGGGTCCCATGCAGGACAGTGGCTCCATGCCCAGGGCTTTGCTCTGTCTTGAGAGTCAGGTGCTTGGGGTTCCCTTGCTACCCTGTAGCATACACTCTTCTGGCCCCGGGTATCTGTCCAAGTCGGGCCTGCAGTGACTTGAGTGCCCTGTGGATGGCAAGAAGCTGGTCAGAGGCAGCACATCCATGCAGCTGCTACCAGGACTTGCGATGCGGACCCAGGCTCTGCTGCACTGGGGCCCTAGGGGCTGGAACCCAATCCTGGCATTCCCAGAAATGGTCAGAGGTGCCATGTTCCAGTGATGGGCTCTGGCAGCGGGTACAGGGCAGCTGATGGACTCTTCTCCTGGGGTGTTTGGCTTGTATCAGGGGATGGGAGCTGCTCAGCGGTTAATGCTGGGGGAATGGGTACGTAATGTGGAATGTGGGTGTCAGCCATCTGGCAGCAGTGTTGTCTTCCCCAGAGGGCCAGCTCCAAGCTTTCTCTGGCCAGCACCAGCATCTTCTGTTCTGGCTGTTGCTGTGGCCATGGAAGACTGATAGAAGCTGGGGCCCAGGCAGCGGCGGAGCACCTAGGGCCAGCCCAGGTGGTTGTGCTGGAGGCAGAGGAACTCGCAGTGAATTGGAGTTCTGGTTTGTACTGGGAGCAGAGGTGCTGTGAGCCAGAACCTGCTTCAGTGTGTGTGCACTTGTGTGAGTCTCACTCCATCCCGCCAGTCCATCCATGTCGCAAAATCAGCTTCTGAGACACTAGGAGTCAAGAAGACCAGAGCAGAGGTGCAGGCTGCTCCTCCAGGGTTACAAAAATGTGGTCAGGCAGTGGATGACCCCAGCCCTAGGGATCACTCCTCCAGGGGTGCAGGACAGAGATCAGGCAGCGGATGACCTCAGCCCTGGGGCACACTCCTCCAGGGGTGCAGGACAGAGATCAGGCAGCG